GTGGCATGATCATCTTGTTAATCGAAAAATTTTACATAGTAAACATAATTTAGTCCCCATTATCGATGAAAATTTAAAGATTCATTTGTTCATGATAAAAAAAGTGCAAAATTTTATTTAAAATCCAAGATGGTTGGATTTTTAACTTTGCTTACTTGACATGAAGTCACATATCTCTAAAACAAAGATAAATAGCTAAGGGCCATAAAAGACGAAACCTAACAGACCGATTATTATAGTGCAGGTATAGACCAGTGACTAGAGTCATTCTAAAATCTCTTCTTTGTTTTTTTTTAAGAACAAATTTTATTTGAATTTTTTTTATCTCTTTTAGTTTACGAACTAGGGCCTTATAAACAATTAAATTGTTTATAACAATTGTTTGACCACTCGGATCGAAATTCAACCACGAAATTCGTAATCAGCACACCAAAATACATTAAAAAACATGAGTGGACCCATTAGAATTGGAAAGGCTACGGTGGTCTAGCTGGTCCCTAGACTATGAATAGTTAGATAGTTTTAGAGCAGTGACAATGCGATTGGTTCATTGTTGTTACCGTAAGAAATATAGATACATATTAGGTGTAAAAAAATCGGACACAAATAATGCTTTAACCAAATTCACAATCATTTGCAGAATGCATTAGAGATGTTTAAAAAAGAATTTATATTGTTTTCTAACTAACATCAATATACGTATTGAAGACAAATATATGAAAAGTACATAGGTGTACATGTTTCTTATCACAAATATCACTCAAAATTATTGAGATTCGCTTTAAAAAATAAAACTAGGATACATAATAATTTTAATCAAAATCTATGAAAAGTGTATGATTATATACACTAATTTTTCAAAACCTACCTTGAGTCTATTAATCGTTAGTTGAAAAAGAAAGATAGACGAATAGATAAAGGTGTTTTTACCGTTTACATGAGGCTTACCAGTTTATCTACGACATTAAAAAAATGGTAACAATAAACTTATGAAATTATCAAAATAACGAGAGATAGTACTTTGGTGTTAAGTGACAATTTTTTCATTGGATTTTATGTCATCTTTCATCTTTCTGTCAATCGTAAAATTATTCGCGTTTTTGCAAATAATAAGTCAAAAATGTGTTAGGATCACATCGGCAGAGCCTGGTTATTATAATTATTAAATTAAATTATAAAGTTGAAGGAGGTTGTTCTGGCCAAACTGTGTATTTGAAAAAGAAAATAGGCGAACAACAATAAAATTTGAAATGAAAGCAGACGATTGTATTTCTTTTCAATTCAATCTCCACCATTGCTCTACACGTGTTTCTCTTTATTTACAGTAATATAATTCATATCTAATCTGCTTTGTACCATTGCATTTTTATGGGACATCCTACTTCTTTCGTTTTATCTTTTAGTTTGTAATTTAGTATTTATTTAGTTAATCGATTTTCATCCGTTCTGTTAATATGTTGTTTCCATTTTGTTCTGTATTCTTTTATTTTATCATTGATCAAGTTGATATTCAGTTCTTGTCTTACTCTCCACTTCTCCTTCGTTAACAAAGGTTCATGAAGTAAGCATGTACGGAACAGAGAGGAAAAGGTTTAAGTAAACGTTGTGGCAAAAGCCTCAATTCAAAAGAATCTCGACAGTAGGCGATAAAACCTATCCGAAAGCCACAAAATATAGATGTAAGATTGTAGCATTTTCGTTTTACCTCGAATATAATAAAACACCAAAAAATATTCCTAATCTTTTTGCGTCTTTGGAATTAATAATATAAATATTTTCGAGTATGTTTATAATAATTGCAATTGCTCTTTCGATTGATCTTTGTTCCGCCTAGATATTTACGCAGAAAATAAATAGGAATTTTTCCGTTTATGTTTGTACCGATTTTTGGATGATGTACTCGATGGATCGCCTACATGAACGGTCGATTTCATTGTTGACGTCATGACGAATTTTATCATCGAAAATTCGTTAGTGTAGCGATCAGTAGAACTAATTGGGGTTTGAACGAGGAAACATCATTTTCGGTTATAGTTTCAAAAACCGGCAAATTCTGGCTTAATTCCAAAACCGGAATTTTGGTTAAAAGAAAGTGATTTAAACTCAAAATGCTATGTAGCAGTCTTTGTATAGTGAGTATAGTTAGAGTATAGTTAATCACTGGTTTGTTGGATGCTGTATTCAGTCTTAAGTGATCTAATAATGGCGTTTCTGAGGGCTAAGTAAGCTGTTTTAAGTTCAAAAATAAGAGTTTTGAAGAATACATATTGTTACCATCCAGGATAACCTGAAGCCCAGTTTATTGGTTGACCTATACCAAGATTGTCCATCTTCCGTTTTGTATATCCCATGGGCCGGATCTGATAGTTTGAAGTTTGTGGGGAACAATGTTTTTTATTCAAATCTTAGGTAACAAACTTTCTTAATAACTTTAAAAGAAATAATCAGCCAGTAAAGGAAAGTAGTTTTGTTAAATTTTTCTAAATAAACATTGGGTGGAATGCATAAAACATAGTATCTGCTAATGCTTCAAGTAATTCTACTTTTTTGTTGTACTTCCTACACTTACAAAGCGTTTTGCTTTCCTTCGTAGTATTTGCTACTATTTACCAGATACATAGAAGGATGTACTATGCTTTTCATAAGACCTCAAACCTCCTTATGGTGACAATGGTTTCTGCCTTACTAATGCGAGGGGCTTCAAAAATGTATTATATGTAATTCATAATACCAAATAAAGTAACCTCTTTGTTCTCTTAAAGACAACTATATAAAACAAATTATAGATGATAACAGAAAGACTTAAAAGGCCTGCTAATTGATTATGATCCGAAACAGGAACATTTAACTTTTTTTTCTGATCCAATTTTTCTTCCATTTTACTGATCCAAAATGGAAGTTTCTGAAGTGAATAGTATAATTTTCAGTTAGTGAATAGACAAGCTACTATAATTTTCAGATTGTAAGAAACAAAAGGTATCATTCAGCTTGGGAATATTCCCAATCTTTGAACAGATTCATTGTCACATACACACAAAAATTTCTACCTTACACTATTAATAGCTCAAATCAACTTACTATTGCAAATTCATTGAAAAAGAAGAATAATCATGAACTCTGAATGTGTATATTAAATCCATAAAGTTTTTGGTATAAACTTTAAAAAAATACTTCAGTTTGAGTTTGACACAAGTGTATAGTATATTGGATGCGAATCTGCCAAGCATAATAGCATCAATTGTTGGCAAGTTACTACTATTTGTTTGACTAAATTCTAATTTCATAGTAATTTTCTGCCTAATTTTGTCAAATTTATTTCCTCAAGATATTCTTTATTTTTGTTATAACAAACAATATTTTATTTTTGTTTTCTATAAATTATATAGTGTAAACAAATATATTATTTTGGTGACTGATTTTAAAGTAAGTTACATAAATTACATTAAACTGCATTCTATAAATAGCAAACATTTATAAAGAATAATAAAATTATTCTGAATGGCCATGGAAATATTGATTGGTCAGCAATCAATTTTAAAATTTTATTTTATTTATTAAGTTTCTTAACAGTAGGAGTATGACACTTACAACAAACAAATGACGATAGAACAAAAACTAATTGATACATAGTAATCTTGCCATTCGTAAATATGAATCTATAAACTGATACACAATTCCGAAAAAATAAAAATTTAATTTAACCTTTATTTTAATTGAAGCAGTTTAAATTAGTTAATAAATTGCATGTCATTTTTTATTTTACAATGAATATTATCTATTAGCATGTGTGCTTGATTGTATCAGATTTCTCAGCCACTTAAAATGAAAATTTAACCAATGTAACAAAAGATGTAATTACTAAATTTTCTAGACTGGTTGTGACTGGTATTAGTGAAGCTAGTGTAGCACAATAGATTTTATGCACACCACTTGTAATTTCACAGCTATACTACAAATATATTACAAATACGAAAGTACTGTGCATTCAATCTTTACATTCTCACAATGTTTAATGAGCCCTACTTTGGATTTATACACGAAATCTATCAATTATTTATTATCTATACCTAATACATTTCACTGATGATTTGTATTACATTTTAATGAATCTAAAGATATTGACAATAAACATGTACCTTTATCAGTTTAGATGCTAATTATATATTGAAATGAAAAAAAAAATACCAATACTTCAACATTTCTCACTGAAATTTTATTGAGTTGACAAACAGACTAGAAAGAAAAAAAAAAGATGGAGAAAACATAGCTTGTAATACTGAACCAACATACAACAAATAGTTAGTCTCTGCTGAATCGTTCATCAACAACTCATAAATAGAAGTATGCCTGCTAAAACAGTCAACCTGACAAACTTTCAATTGAATTTAATATTACTATAAGTACCACAATATGTATTTCAGCTTATAGACTTCTAACTAGAATATTGTATTTACTAACATGATAATTATAACAAATTTTTGAGCTGGCCAATGGGTCTTAAACCAAGGTCCTAAATCTAAACACATACACACAATTCATTAATATGAATAAGTATATAAATAAATAAACAATAATATATGCCATTATTAATATATTTCTTGAAATACAAATGAAAACATAGAAATGAAGAAGTAGATGTGTAAACATAAATAGGAGATACAAAGAAAAAATGACCAGTATGATAAACCATCCACAAGACAACATAAGTAAAACATAATTACGGAATTAAAACCATAAAAATAAATTCAGAAATTGGAATTGGCCAGAAATATAAAATTCACTGTCAAAAATGAACTTATCAAAAATACTGATAAAAACAAAGAAAATTGTTTAATTTTAGATGATGACCACTGCATACGTTTTTGATAAATAAATGACCAAAATAAGGCCTAAATAATTCCAATAATTTGTTTTAAAGCAAATATATACAAACTTTGGAATATCAGAGAACTTCATCAAAATTGGTTTTAATATAATATAATTTAGTACCTATTACATACCTTGTGTAATAATCTCGCTGGAGTTGTTATTAAATTGATGTTAACTGATGTCCTTACAATGAAAATAGAATATATGAAGCGAATAGGCCTTTGCATGTGAGCTTGTAATAAATCACAAAGTAGTCATTTCTTTGGTATTCAAAGATTTCAAGTCTACAAATCGTTGGCAGCTTACCGAATATAAAAGTTCGATGTATTTGTCATCAACTACATTCCCAAATTACAGGTATGTTAGAGTTAAATTCTTCAACTTTTTAATATGATTTATGTTGTTGTTATTCTGTTGTTTACAAAACTAATTCAAAATTAACATAGACCATAAAACATTGCCATGCCAAATGATGTGCCAAAAATCAGTTTAGCATCGCATCTCATCTGGCTCACCTTTTATTTTAGTTGGCATTCTGTGGCACAGAGTGACAAAAGAAATGTCATAATAAAATCAGTTCTTTATCGCTTTATTCGCTCCGTGCGTGACTGAGGCGACACCTACTGCCTTCATCTGACAATTTTGGAGTCCCAATTTTCAGGTTAAACATATGACATATGTTTGACATTATTAAATACATGCGAAATTGACAATTATTAATAAATTAGTTTTTTAACTATATATTTTCAGTTTATGTACAAAATAAATGTAGTATTAAAAACTGGGTTTCTCAAAATTCATCCTAATATATCTTTTCAACTCCAAACGGAAAAGAAAGGGAAAAATCGAGTACTGGCAAATCAAGTTTTTCACGCAAAAGAGCATATAATTAAAAACAATAATAGTAAAAGTCATGTAAAAGTTATGATATAAAAGCTAAAGTCATCTGCAGTTAGCTTAAAGCCTTATGAAATATCATTCAAGGTAAATTATTTAAATTTTTCCTATTTCAATTGCATAAAAATGAAATTATGTGATATTTACTTTTTCATATTAATAGCACGAATTAATCTTTTTCTTTTCTCTAATTTATATGTCATCTTTGGGAACCTATAAAAACTACACTCACTGTTTTTGCTATTAAATACAATTAAATACGAAACATGTATTTGCACACATTTTTGATAAAATTTATGCGTAAAAATATTTTGTCCAATATTCCAATTTTGTCATATTTCGCCGCTACGCACGCTGGCATCGTTTCAATGTACCCCTACCATGGTCACGCACGGATCGAATACGTGTTCTGTAAATCACAGACCACATCAGTCAGAAATTTATTCCAAAAAAAGCATAGCTTGGAAACACAAACCACGTACCTCCTTGGAAGGAATAATGAAATAAAACAGTTAATTTAATGCTAATGATTTTTTATTGAACTGCTTCAGTCTTTTGTTTACATATTATTAGCTTCGAAATCTATGTCAATAGGCCAATTACTCGTAATTTAAATTTTAAATTTTTCACTAAAGTTTGCCACCGAGAATATAAACAAAGAATATAGACTCTTAAGCTTAAGCGTCTATATTCTTTGATATAAAATTAAATAAAATATTATAGAAATATTGCGTGGTAATGCGTAGTTTAATAATCCGTCTTGCATAGCTCCTACATAGTATGAAAATTTCATAATTTTGAAAAAAGTTTAGGCCGACTTTACAATATGCAATTTTCATGCTATGCATGACAGATTATGAAAATGCACCGAAAAAGACAGGATTAAAGCCGGCTAATGGGCACTATTTGAAAATTTTTAAAGATTTCATTTGTTAGTTTGCTTTATTTATGATTTCCGTATATCATGAAATAATGAATCTTTCCTCCTAAAGTACTTCTGCTTTAATTATTGGTCACTGGCCTTACAATTGTATTTAAAATTTTGTGTTTGTCTGCTGACAACCGCTGGAAAAAATCGTCGTTCGCCAAACCAACAAGCGCTGAATAAGCGCTTAGCATATCAAACGTAAACGAATTAATTCTGGTGAAATTACTACGGAAAAACGTGAAATCTCAAGGATCCTTACATTTTCTGCCCCCTTATTTGTGTCCACCTAGCGGACAACGCACTAAAGATCAGTTCTGTAGCTACATTTGTATTATAGTCACCGATTATACTATCATATAGCTACATTGGTGTTCTGTGGTTGCCACCAGCATAGAATACTTATTTTATGCCATGTCTGCCATGGAATTTAACAATTTTAACATATTTTTAATTTACGTACAAATTACAAATTGATAAACAAAAAACTTTACATGTTATGAGTCCACGTCCACATAAAGCAATAAAAAATAAATATAACTTGAATAATGAATAAAATTAATGTAAAAAAAATTTATCTTCACAGATTATACATTTTAAATTAGACATATAAGCACATGTGCTTATCTTATGTACCTGAATTGTCACTTTACTACACTTTCCCTTTTTTGTCACAGATGTTTTTTATAAGATAAATGTTAAAGCAAGTTATAAGTTGAAATAAAAAATATACTGTGTAAATAGTTCTTCTGAAATACTTTTTATGTTAACAGAAAATTAATAGTATATTAGGTGCCTGTCTGAGATAGTTACATAAACTTTCAATCATCGCGGTTTGATGGTCGTGATTCTGATTTGCTGAAGATTATGAATACATTGAGTGGGGTAAGTTCAATGTCATTAATAAATTAAGACCACAAAAACCAGCAGTTATTTTAATTATTTAGGTGTTTATTGAGTGGTTGATTATTTTTGTAATTTAAGTATATTGTGTAATGGATTCGGGAGAGAGCCAGGTAAATTATTCTTATATTCGTAATTTGTCTGTGTTAAATAAAACAATAACCACAATTATGAAATAATTATAAATTATGTATGAGCTATTGTTACTAATTAAATTGAAATCTGTTAAATTAGTAGGCTATTTAGTGTACAGAAGGACGACCGGTTTAAAATACAAGATACACTAGATTTTTAAAGTGTTATATTTCTTTCTATTTCATTATTATCAAGATAATCTATTAATATTTAATGTCTTAATTTAGTACTGATCTAACCAGAAGCTTTTATGTAATTCTTAAAATGGTGTAACTCACTTTTGACTATAGGTATTTTTACCAAAAACCTTATTAATTTGTTTTAAAACAAAAGTTTTAACCTTTGAATAAGGTCTTGCAATCATGTTCTTTTATTCAATTGAATAGTATTAATTATTGTAACCTTTATTTGTTTACTATTTTATTGTTCTTTGGTTAGTTTGTTTTAAAATCTTAGTTTGTTGTTAAAATCTAGGACTCAAGTTTTCTCTTTTTTGGTCTTTGAAAGACATACATTTGACATTTGCCAACATTTTTAAATTTAACATATTTAACATAATTTATCATAATCTGTGAATAGAGTTTTTAAATTACATTTAAACCACAAAATTAAAATTTAGACATGGACACCCACATATGGGTCATAAGATCATTTCCCTACGAGTCTTGCAAACCATACATTCGTCACACAGACATGCTTTGGTTCTATCCTAATATATTAATTTATATTTGTTTTACTTTTACTGTGGAAGAAACCTGTTGTTTAGTAATCTAAATAGGCCAAGTCTTGGATCACAGCCTACTGTTTCTACATTTTACAATTGGAAGCAAGTATTGCTTTCACACACATCTGAATACCATTTAATACTTGTGAAATCAGGAAGAAAATGTTAGCATAATAAAGCATACAATAATTTTAAAATTTCATGTTTTAACATTTTTCATTTTTTCACCATTTTTAATAGTTTTCCTCTATGTTAGAGAAAAAATAATTCCATATTCTTGTTGAAAGACTTCAAATCTATGTCTAATGTCTAGTATCATAACATTACTTCTCAGCAATATGGCTTAACCAAAAGAAAAACTGAATGGACCTTATGTAGATGATCTGGCAAGTGAAAAAAGGATATTCAATTAAGATCATGGTATGTTAGACTATTGTACTCTGTAGGGGCAATGAAATGTCTCTTAGATACACTCAATAAATATAATATGGACATAACAGCTATACAAGAGGTACAATGGAAAGGAACCAGTAATTTCCAGAAGAATTTAAATACAATAGATGAAGTCTGCATGATTACCTATTAACAACAAGGAAATATGTATTAAATTGATGGGTGGAATACTTTAACCAGACAATATAGAGAAAGAAGAAGAAAACCTGGAAGACAACAGACCAGACGAAAGAGGAACCACCAACAATTATTTAAATTAAAGATGCAGTTAAAAAAACTAGCCACAATTAGAATCTGCCAGCTGAACTGTATAAATAAGGTGGCAATGATACCATAATGGCACTACAGCAGCTCATAAAAGAAATATGGACACAGAAATTCCTCCTCAGTGGTTGGAATATTGGAATCTGTTGCATCATACACAAAAAGGAGATATCTTTGAATGCTCTAACCAGGGAGGAATTACACTTTTAAATGCAGCATATAAAATATTTTCCACAATACTATGCCACTGTATGTCACCATAAGCAGAATGAATAATAGAAAAATACCAGTCTGGTTTTAGAGGTGGTAAATCAACAATTCATCAGATATCAACCCTACGACAAATTTTAGAAAAAACACTGGAATATGCCATAGATACTCTTGATATATTTATACACTACAAGGTAGCTTACGACTCTGTAAATTGAAGATAGATAGAAGAGAAATGTTCAGAGTGATGAAAGAGCTATGAGTATCAAATCAGTTGGCAAATTTAACAAAACTAATTCCTGACAAAGTTGAGTGCAGAGTATGAATCTAGGGAAACTGTCTGAGCTTTAAAAGAAATAAAGGGGTTACGATGTAAGGTGAGATTTGAACAACAAACGAGAACAACCAAACCTATTGTTGGCATTTGTAGATGATATGTATCTAATAGGAAACAGCAGATTAAAGATGAAGGAGCCTTTTATCTGGTTCTAGAAGGAAGCAGATAAGATGGGGCTCCTAATCAATTAAAAGAAACCCAAGTATGCATATGATCCCCAACAATCGAAACAGATATAGAATCAGACATAACATCACCATCAATGACTTTAACTTTGAGCGCATCAGAGAATTCAAGTATCTTGGAACAACCATAACTGAAGACAATAATGAATCACAAGAAATATACAATAGGATACATTCTGGCAACAGATGTCTTTATGTCCTTCATAAAACATACAAAGATACAACTATATAAAACAGCTAAAGGCAAACGAAGAGCAACTACGTGTTTGTGCAAGAAAAATCCTAAGGAAGATCTTTGGGTCTGTCTTTGACGGAGCAGCATAACAATATAGGATAAGAACTAACAAAAAGCTCGAAAGACTGTATCCAGATGCTAACATAATAAAAGAAATGCAGTCTAAAAGACTTGAGTAGACAGGACACCTCAGAAGACATTCTAGCGAAAGAATAGTAAGGTTGGTACGGGAAGAAGTTTTAACTGGAAGAAGACCACGTGGACGACTTCGACTCTGGTGGCGAGATAATATAGCGTGAGACCTTAAAACTATGGGCGTGAAGAATTGGTTGTAGATTGCTCAAGACAAAGAAAAATGAAAACATGTTTTCAAGTCGGCTAAAACCCACGAATGCTACGAACGCCACAGAGTAAGTAAGTTAGGACAAGGTTTACGAAACTAACTAGAGCTTTTCATCTCCGCATATCTAACTTTTTATATTGGAGATATCAAGACTGATATTTCATGACGTAAATCAAGAATATGTGAGAAATAACATGAGTAGATTCTATGATCGCAAACAGAAGAGTTTTACCTTATTCCATCTTTCATACTTAATAGTTCTATTTGTTTAATTGCTGTGTCACCGTTTTTGTCAACTACTAAAGATCCTCCTTTTGCTTGTATTCTTTTATTAGGTTCACTCATAATTATGATATCTACGTTTTTGGCTAGTGCTGTTATATCCGTGAGGTTATGGGCATCTATGCTTCTGCCAAGATTTATCTGCAAGATTTTCATTGTGGTACTGGTGTTTGCGAGCTTATTCTCCATTCTTTAGCTCTTTATTTTCTTAGTAGTCTGCGAAACTCCGGACAATTCGTTTTTATTTATATGTCCATGCCCCTTACCCTCTGCGCTGTATAATCTATTTTCTATTGGGAAATCCTTTGCCTTATGTCCGATTCCTCCGCAGTGAAAGCAGTCTTCTTCCTTCTTATTGCCTTTGCAATTTTGCTTTTCTTGTCCGAGATGGTGGCATCTATAACATCTGCGAATGTTAATTGTGTGTCATACAGTACAGATACGCCATCCTATTTTTATTTTCCCCAACTGCATCAGTGCGTTTGCTTCCATCACGTCATTATAATTATGGCGTTTTGACGTTCGCCATTGAAGTGTTTTTCGCTGGATGTCACGAGGAAGTCGAAGTACAGTTTTTTCTTCAATAATCAACCAATATGTTTAAGGAAGAAGATTTTTTTTATTTTCAGTTGTATCTGGTCGATACTGAAGTCCTTGGAAAAAGGGGAAAAGGGAAAAAGGGGAAAAAGGGGAAAATAGTCTTGGGCACAATGAATTGTGCCCAAGACTATGATGTAGTGCTTTAAAGTCCTTCCCCCTTTTAAATTCAATGTTTGTTTCGTCCCTTCTAAGTGTTTTCTGTTTTTAGTGTGTTTAAATTATCCTTAAGTGTTTGTATTTTACCATTTTATTCATTTTATTCACTTGACCATTCCAATAATTAACTCATTGCCAATAGAACTTTATCAAAGTAATTTGATAACTACAAGTTTGGAAATAATTGCACACCCACACAATTTTACATCTACACTTATTCATTGTCATAAATGTCACCTTCATAAAACAATTACTCAATAAATAACACACATTTCAAAAATATATCTCTGGAATAAGTATAAATAACTTTTAATAACACAATAATATATTACACCACTTACATTTAACAAACAATCTCACACACATCTCAAATTCATTGGATCAAATCTACCTCCTCAAGAACTTCCCGTTTACTGTCAAACAACTGCAATAATAGTATTGAGTTCTCCATTCAACAATATACAGTAGTTTCAAACATGTTCTACCATCCATCTATTAATAGAGTACCGGCATCATTTGTTTAACTTTGTACCGAGACCTGAAGATGCTTTGCATATTGTAGAAAGCGAAACCGGTCGTTGGATAGTTAAATTAAATTGATTGTGAGTAAGTCTGATTTATTATTTCTTTACCTATTTTTAATTTTTCTTTGAATTTCTATTCAGTTGGTGTCAATCGGACAATTTCTTTGTAGGGATTCATTTTTTTAATCCTATTTTTATAGTTGCCATATTTTGGTACTACCAATTTCTATGTTTGTACATATTTCTTGAGTAGTCCACTGAAGAAATATGTACCATATGTCTAATATGTACCTCTTTGTAAACTTTACCACTTTCAGACATGATTTATTAAGTTTCACGTAATGTGTGAGTGATGTAGAGAAATTCTCAGAAACAAAAAATTCGTATTCAGACTAATGCCAAAACCAGGTGTCAATCATTTCGGAAATTTTGAATTCGATCATTGGCGGCGCGTAAGAAAATATGTTTCCTTGCTGGTCACTTTACATTGTGACAATAGAATATTATATCTCTGCTTATAATAGTAAACATAATACATTAGATCTAGTTTTTATTCAAATTAATAATGTGTCGACTGAGCGGATGAGAAAGAGTAGCAACCGGCAAATCAAGAAGTTTATTTCTGAGAAAAGTTTAATTCTCTTGAGTGTTCAAATAACCGAGCT